GCAAGAGGAAAGCACTTTGCAATGCTCTGCAGCTTCTTTTTGCACAGATGTCTGCCTGTCGTGACAAGAATGATTTACTCTTTTGGTTCAGGATTATTTATGAAACTCTCCTTGATTTCGAAAAGGATTTATATAAAAATATATTTTGTGTTTTTACACAATAAAAGAACAATTATAAGCATTTGAGTCATTATTTAGAGGCGTGAACAAAAAAGGTGGAACTATACCAAAAGGACAAATGGAGTTTAAAGGTGTAAACCTGAGCTCTGTATGTAACTCTTCCCTTGTCCGCAGACCCATTTTCTTTTACCGTGGGAACGAGATGATGGCTGTGAGGCTCGGACAATACAAAGCGCACTACTGGACCTGGAGCAACTCGTGGGAGGAGTTCCACAAGGTGAGCTCCTCTTTCAGCGAGCTGTGTCCCTTCTCTGTTTCCCAGCTCCTTCGTTTCCTCTGTCACATTTCCACTGCTCCTAATCTTTCCGAAACACACCAACACTTTTCCTTGTTGCTCATCTTATCTCAACAATGGCTCATCAATTGACTGCTGTGTACATCAGAGAGGAATGAATATTAATAAGGAGCCCCCCATATGTGTCAACTGGCATCGTTCATCAACCAGTTGACTTGTTTGTTTAATCTCAGGTGTAGATTTACATACCACCATTCCCTGCTTGCTCTTCCACCATCTCACACAGTGTTGATGAAACATATCCGGAGAAACAGAAAATCTACCACCCTAGAAGCAGAAGAATATGATGCCTTTGCAACTATCTCTCCTCTCTGTCCTTAAAAACATGTCCTCCTGCCCCCCCCAGTCTATACTTTTCCTGCTATCCAGTTTGTTTTATGCCCCATCGGTCGCTTAAATTGCTCTCTCCTTCAGGGCCGCTGAATCAATAGCAGCCTCCTTTATCAACTCAAGTGAACTGAAGTGGAACTTTACAAATAATGGCGTCTGATTGCCTGTGAGTTGCCAATCGATTTGCTGTGCGTATGAATGCAGGAGGGAGAGAAAGGGGAAACAAAAAAAAAGCATTGTGGAAAAAATGCACAGAGACATTTGGCCGCTCATGCAGACATGAACGTCTGTTTGTGCGTCAGCGGGCAAGTTTTTTTTTTTTTTTCGGCAAAAAGGTTAAATCTCCACTTTGCTTTCTTGTAATAATGGTTGGATTTTTAAACTCTGTGTTTGTGTATTGACTAAAAATAAATATTTCTCACACATCCATCAATCCATTTAGAAATGCCTTACATAGAAGCGCATTCTTACCGCAGCTGTTGTTCCTGCGAGTTGACAGAAAATACCTTGTTTTTTATATTTATTTCTTTATATATATATATATATATAGCTCAGAAACCAGGTCAAAAAGAGGCTCAGTATTGTGTGTGGCATCCCTACAATGACAGGACATGCTTCTGATGAGGTGACAGATTATGTCCTGAGGGATCTACCGCCAGACCTGGACTAAAGCATCCTCCAACCCCTGGACGGTCTGTGGTTCAACATGACAGCGGATAGTTTGAGACATAATGTCCCAGATCTGCTTGATCACACTGAGTTCTGGGGAACGGACGGGCCAGTTCATACTTTCAATGCCTTCACTTGGCATGAACTGCAATAGGAGGATCTTGGGCCAACCACACCAGCATATGATCTCACTATGGGTCTAAAGATCTCATCTCAGTATTGCATGGCAGTCATGATACCTTTGGCGAGCACATGGAGGGCTGTGTAGCGTTACTAAGAAATGCCACCCCACACCATTACTGACCCATTGCCAAACCGGTCATGCTGGCGGATGGTGCAGGCAGCAGATCGCTCTCCGTTGTGTCTGCAGACTCTGTCCGGTCTGTGACATGTGCTCATTGTAAACCTGCTTTCATCTGTGAAAAGCACAGGGTGCCAATGGTTAATTTGCCAATCCTGGTGTTCTCTGGCAAATGCCTAGCGTCCTACATGGTGTGTGGCTGTGAGCACAACACCCATCTGTGGATGTCAGACTCTCATACCATCCTCATTGAGTTAGTTTCTAAATGTTTGTGAAAAATTTTTTCACATTTTTGGCCTGCTGGAGGTCATTTTGCAGAGCTCTGACAGTTGCACAAAGGCAGAGGTAGCAGTCCTGCTGCTGGGTTGTTGCCCTCCTATGGCCTCCTCCAAGTCTCCTTGTATTGACTCCAGCCTCTGGACAGCACGCTTACAGACAGAAAACCTTTCTGCCACAGCTCCCATTGATATGCCATCCTGGATGAGCTGCACTACCTGAGGCACTCGTGTGGGTTGTAGAGTCCCTCTCATGGTACCACGAATGTGAAAGCACCACCAACATTCAAGTGTCTAAAACATCAGCCAAAAATCAAAGCTACTAAGAAATGATCTGTGGTCCCCACCTGCATAAGCAATCCTCTGTGGAGTGTGTCTTGCTAATTGCCAATAATTGGTCTATTCCATTTGCACAACAGCATGTGAAATTGATTGTCAATCAGTGTTGCTTCCTAGGTGGTCACATAAGTATGCTTTGATTGAAGCTATTGTGTTGTTTACATGTTCCCACACTTATACCTTGACCTTTGTTTATGAGATTTGCATCATGATCGTAAGAAAAAATCCTGAATTTGAGCATCAGAAATAGGTTAATTTTTTTAGGTGAGTCTGATTAAATTGTGTGGATCTTTAGTCATTTAGTTGGTATGCCAGTCCTCTACATCCAATAAATCGAGGTTCCTCCTGGGTTCCTTGCTTGGTATATTTTCTTCCCATGTTACCCCTTGAAATGAAAAATAAAATAAAATAAAAAAATACATTTGGGTGTTCATGAAGTTGGGATGTTTTAGATATTCTTCTCTCCAGCTTTCTGGTCTCTATTCGATCACTTTAAGGTCTTTATCACGAACAGCTACCGGGTCTGATGTTCAGAAAGTGGTTCCCAGGCTGGTTCCTTTTTTTTCTCTACGGGGTGTTTCTAAAACCTCTAAGCCACTAATATACACAACAGGTGTTAGTAAAAATTATTGCTAGTACATTTTCCTTGCATTGCCATAAAATGTTACACAGATTACCTCTCATCAGTATAAACACAGTGTCAGATCTGAGTAAAATTAGGCAATTATGCTGCTTACTAAACAATCAGAGATGAGCTGCTGGGCAGGAGAATAGAACTTGGTTTCTGTCATTTCCCTGTTTTGTTTTCTTTTTTTTTCAATCAGGCTACTAGGCCTCGGCTCATTTGGTAATTTATGGACTGAATGAATAACGACCTGTTCTGTTAATAGGACATCTACTGCTTAAATCATGCCAAGAATCTTCTTGTTGACAACCAGAGACCAAGATTCTGATTCATTTCAACAAGTTGATGATTTAGATACTTTATGAGAAGCTCGAAATTGTATTAAACAAACAAAAACTTTATTTTTTATTATTGATCATTTTGCTTCATAAGAATGATTCTCTGTGAAACACCTGAAATGTTGCTCTACTGCCCCAAAAATACCCTCCCGCCCACCCCCAGAATAGTTCTGCATCTTATCTTGTCACAACTGCTGCGCCTCAGTTTGGTAGTAGCCTTGCTGTATCTGTGCTCCTAATGTTATGTGAGATATGGAGCTCTTGCTGTAATATCTTTGGCACAAGCGACGGAGTCAGACACATACACAGAGACGGCTTTTCACACCGCTCCTCTGGGATGACATTCTGTTTTTACTTTTCTCTGCATTTCTGAACAGTTGCTTTCAAAAGAAGGGACAGGTCTGAATGAGTAGAGGCTGATATGTGTGGGTGGGTGGTTGGGGTATCAGTGCTCGCTTCTGCTCCTCTCTGTTCTCTCTGTATTTTGAGGGTCTCTGATGAGTGATCCCAGAGGGGGGGCAGCCACTGCGCCTTACAGATGAATGCTTTTTTCAATATTAGCCCTGCTCATCAGAAAGTGTGTGTTTTTTTGTGCGTGCATTCAGGCAGGGGGGCAGCTCTCTAGGGGGCTTCTGCAGGAGAGAGTGTGACTCAATCAGGCTGCCAGCCTCCTGAGAATGGAGTCGGGGAGCAGGAGCACGGAGATGAAGAGAAGGCAGGAAAAAGTCTTCTGTTTCCAAGGCTCCAAAACCCTCCATTGTGATGCGCCAGCAGTCGCTCCATGAATAACACAACAGATTGGAGGACAATATTGCAAATAGACAGTGTAACAATGAGTAATCAGCTCAGGGTAGCAGGTGGCTGGAAGGAAAACTCCCTGATATTTGCAAAAGAGTGCTTTGGAGTTTGCTGTGAATTTCAGAGAAAAGTCATTTATGGGAAATACCTTAAATAATCAAAAACAAAGCACCAAATAGAAGTTAGTTTGAAGTTTGATCTCGAATTTCTAAAGTTCAGGTTGCATGGAGCATAGGAAAAAAAAAAATCAGCTCTCTGTCTCCTGAGAGACTACAAGGAGACAGACTCACCTTTGCAACCATTTTTCATCCAAAAGTGGGCAGATCTGCTGTTTTCTGACAAATATTCTATGATCATTTATCTGTTTTGGAGAACTCATAGATATTCCTGTCTATTCTTACTCTTATTTTACCAGTTATAACTGTGACTTTTACAGTGGATTATAACAAACAGCAGGTGTTAATATGTATGTTACCTGGATTATATTCTGAGCAATCAGACCAAAGTTCTAAAAATGTTACTTTTGTAACCTTATTGAGAGATAGGAGGTCAAAAAATTTTTATTTCCTTATTGGATGAATTAAAGGTTTATGAAAAAATAGAAAATCACATTTTTCTTATGTTAAACACAGACTTTCTTTCTACTTTAAGCTTCTCAAAAAAAAAAAATGTATGGACATTTGATGCATGAAAAGCAGCAATCTGGTGTTTCCTTTATTTTCTGTGGGATTCAAAGCTGCCCTCTATATTAACAAACCAAGGACTCATTTTTTTCAGGGCCATTTTATTACATTTTTCTGGGAAATAAAAACCAACAATCAACCAAAATCTGATAGTTGCAAACCTATCTATGTATACACAATTTTGTATACAGTCTGTGTATACAAAATTGCAATAAAGTTTGTCTTAAAGCTACAGTGTGTAATAATTACAGGGATATAC